GCCCGGCCGCCCTAGCTTCCGCCAGGGCTCCCGTGCCAACGGAGGGGCGAGTCGGTTGTCCTCCGACCCGCCCCCCAGACGAGTGAGGCCGTGCAATGCAGGCTCCGGAGTCCCTGTCCAGAGCCCGCTGGTCTTACTAGGGGATCAGGCGAGCAGCGAACTGCCTTCGCCTTCTCCCCGTACATTTTCGTTTAAACCTAACTTAACCTAACCTTTTTTTTTGTTAATCCGGGGGAATCTGCTTACAGATACCCCGGCCCCGCGGGGGCAGAACCGGGGTTATGTGGGACTGGGCTGAACCCTGAAGGGGAGCAGCCCGACCGCACTAAACCCCAGGAGTGTTCCTCCTCTCCGCTGTAGTTGGGGGTACGGGTACGCTGTTGCACTCGTCCGCGCCCCCACCAGCGGCTGGCCGCGCCCTGCGCAGCCCCTCCCCGAGAAGGGAGACACATCCGTCCCCCGACTCCGAATCAACCGTGAAGTTCAGTGGCTGCTCCCCCAGCCCCCGCGGCGGATCTGATGACAGGCTCCGCCGCAACACCTAACGCGTTTCCGCACGGACTCTCCGAAGAAAGTCCCTTGGAGCGCCCACCACGGGCCAACCGCCCACATTCGGCCGCGGAGGATAGGACGAGCGGCAACGACACACCGACACGTCTCTTCCCCCGCGGCCCCGCCGCCACTGCATTGTCGAAAGCGGTGCAGCCCCGCCAGGGTCGCGGAGGACAGGACGAGCGGCAACGACACACCGACACGTCTCTCCCCCCGCGACCCTCCTCCTCGCGCATCCGCGCGGTCCCGCTGAGCAGACGAGTCCGCGCGGAACGCCCTCCTCCTCGGGCCAGCCTACCACCATCGGCCGGCCCTGTGGGTTCCTCTTAGCTTCACCGTGGGATGAAATCGACCACGGCTACTAGAGCCCCCCCGCCACGACAAGGCGGGAACCCCTTCGGGGGGGAACTTAACCTAACCTAACCGAACCTAATCGCGTCTTTGCGATAAACATCCAACATAATTCCTTAAAGAACAACGTTATTTCGGAAAATAAAATTCGAATTTGTGATAGGTTACCCCTCGGGGCTATCAACAAAATCATTTACACTAGATATTCTGAAGTACAGGGTTGAGAATCATTCGGGATTGCGTTGTGTTTGTGTAAAACTGTAAGTGTAAATTTACATTGCCCGAGGCTGTCAACAAAATCACACCATTACTCGGAAGCTGTTTTTAATGTTGAGGTCTATAAACCATAATTAATTTTAAGTGTGCAGAACAAAATGGACACAACTAGCTAATAATTATATGTTTTTAAGTCTCTTATTATAATTTTAAAACTAAATTCACCACCTTTTTTATTTTAAGATTTTTTTTTGTAAATAAGGTTATTTAAAATAAAATGTTCCATCCAAGATTGATTTTGATTTTTACCATAGTACGTGACGGCGTGTCGTCGTAAGTTCGGCAAGTTGGTAGTCAACCCTTCATCTCTGCCATCTCTGTTTTTATTTTTTATTTATTCCTTCTTCCTTTCCAACAAAAAAATCGCTTCACGAATGTCGGAAAAATCAATTAAGAACCTAATTTTTAGAAGTCGGTTAATTATTTCCAATATACTCCTAGGGCCCAGTTTGCAAATTCTACGCGGTATGTTGTCAAAGCAGAATTCGTCACCCCATAGAATAGACGTATCTCGTACAGTTAGGCTCAACTCACACTGGCGCAGAGTCGAAGCGTCGCGACGCGTCATGTTTTTCGCCTATAGCATATTCATCTATATTTTTCAATTATTAAGGTACAAATTTATGATTTGCAAATACGGAATCGAGTGGCGACGTGCGTAGTATTAGGCGCTTGGTAGCATTCGAGCTTGGTAGCATTTGGTCACGCGTCACTTGGGCGCCGTGAGGCGTCAGACGCCGACCAAACTGATCCCTGCGCACTAATGCGAACGTCGTCGCGCGTCGCCTGGCGGTGGAGTTGAAAAACAGGACGCGACGCGACGCTTCAACTCTGCGCCAATGTGAGTTGAGCCTTACAGTGGCCCCTGTGGGAGTCAGGGTTCTAGAAACCCACCTCTGCGTCTACAGAAATAGTATGTGTTGTGATGCTGCACTATGACGTGCAACAAAATCTCTTGTAAAATACTATGAAAATCTATGATAAATCGGCATTACTATTTATGACACTCGAATCGTAGGCGCCCTTACATATTTTCGCTGTGAATAAAACGATAGCGTGTTTCAGGGCACAACTAGTGCCATCTAGCGGTGAATCTTGGAATAAAAATTGTATGAGAAGCATTTTTGCTTTCGCGATAGCTTGGTTGGGTGAACTCTTGTGCTGGTATAGTGTTCGATTCCTAGCGGGGGCCTGTGCAATTGAGTCTTTTAAATTATTTATTATTTAAAAAATAATCATGTTTATTATTATGTTTTGTTTTTTATTTTTTATTTTTTTTCTTGTGTGGTGTCGTTTGTGGCATGTAAATAATAGTATTTTTCATTACATTTGCTCATAAACAGTGTCACGTAATATCCTAAATTGTGACACGGGCTTTTTTATTACGTTCTATGGATGTTTTACGTCAAAATTAAGCAAAAAGTTGCAAACATGTAGTCAATCTGTTAGCAGCCTAAGAAGGGTTTAGTAGCAATAGACCTCCTTGTGAAAGAGTTCGTCCAGGGAAGTTCTGCCACCTTACCTATAGTCCATAACAATTGCAGTGCCACTCAACAGCTTTATATCGCAAAGATCTGCCACTGCGCCCGTCACCCTGCGACCTAAGTTGACAAGTCCCATGTGCCTGTAATTTCACCAGCACCCTTACCCTTCAAAACCGGAACACAGTAATGCTGACTATACTGCTTGGCGGCAGAAATAGGTAAGGTGGCAGTACTTCCCTGAACGAACTCTTTCAGAAGGAGCTCTGCTTTACTTCGTTTTTTTTAGTTTTTTGAACAGCGGTTTACAGCTGTTGTCGAACCACGCACCCCAGATCGCCCGAACACAGTTCTTCTGAACCTTAAACGCACTGTCTACGATTATTGAATTGCCATACGTATAAGACCGTAGCTAAGCACAGACGAAACGTAGCCGTGATACGCCGTCAATGCTGCTTCTCGAGAGACAGTTTTCCTTAATCTTCGTAGAGCGTAAACAAATCTATTTAGCTTCATACAAATCTGCTCGACATGTTCTTTCCAGCTTAGGTGCGTGTCAATTGTTAATCCAAGAAAATTAAATGTGTCAACTTCCTATACGGTGTCAGCATTGTATTGAATTGTAATTGGTATAGGATTTGAATTGTACGATCGAAATGTCGTAATTTTAGTTTTAATTATATTAATATTTAAGTCATTAAAGTTCAACCAATTTATTACATCTGTCAATGCTTTGTTTATGTCGGTGTTAAATGTCGCTTTATCTTCACATTTTATCATAATTGTTGTATCGTCAGCAAATTGTATACATTTATGGTTAGTTGCACGTGGGAGGTCGTTAATGTATAGGATGAACAGTAACGGACCTAGCACGCTACCTTGGGGAATTCCAGCATTAGTCGTTTTAATATTTGATCTAAAGGTTTGTTTTTCAAACATATTATTGTATTTGTTTCTAATAATTCCATTTATTTCTGTATATTGAGTTCTATTTTTTAAGTAGCTCTCTAACCATTCAAGGGCTTTCCCCTTGATACCATACATTTCGAGTTTGCGTAAGAGTTTAGAATGATTGACAAAATCGAAGGCTCTACTCATACCAAGATAGATTGACATTACTGGGGTCGAGACGTTAATAGATTGAGTCATGACGCGAGCTACCTTTTTAAAATCCGTATTGAGAACAGTTTATGATTTTATGTTTTCCTAAAAATGCGTTTAATCTAATATGTAGAGCTCTTTCGAATACCTTAGATATAGTCGGTATTAAAGATATTGGCCTATAATTTCTCGTGCTTTCCTTATCACCATTCTTAAAAAGGGGTTTGATAACAGAAATTTTTAATTGTTTTGGAAAAAGGCCATCACTAAAAAATCATAAAAAAACATCATAAAAAACAAAAAAGTCATGTTTTATAGAAGTGTATATAGTCCACGTCTCAATAAATCGGAAGATTACGAGGCTCCCGAGTTTTATTGAAGAAGAAAGAGGAGATCCAACACCTATGTTCAGCAGTGGACATCTTTCTGCTAAAGTGAGTATTAGAGGAAGATATGTAAGTGGTGCATGCTTGCACGCATCATAACCCCGGGAGCAGCTAGTTTAGAATAAAACAAAGAAAAATCCACTTAACTTAATTTATTAAAATAATTATAGAAAAGTCACTTATAAACTAAACAATTACGTCTTAAAATTTACAATCTGCGTGTTACAAATTTGCAAAATGTATGCGATTACAACAAAAAAAAAATCTAAAATTAAAAGTACTAAACACGGCCATATTGAGAAATTATGACAGAAAATTCAATATGGCGGGAGTATTTATAACATTTTGAGTTTTTAAACTATAGTTCTTTCGTGTTTTTTTTTGTGAAATTGTACTTTTAGTGCGTGCTAAATGTGCAACATGATGTCCATTTTGATTATTAAAGCATACATTTGTAAATTGAGTTTATGTCCCTCTATTCTACGAGATACGTACACATGGGATATTTTTTAATATTATTAAGATTTTTGTACTGGTTTTGACTAAGACAAAATGGAGAAGATAGCGATAATTAGTAAATGTTGATTTATGACATAACTAACTATAATTCGTATCAATCCATTCTAAAAGATGAAGGATAAACAAACCAGTTTGGTTAAAACAATCAATCAATAAAATGGAATAAGTAACACTTTCATATATATTTTGAAGGTTCTAACTTGATATCTCCCGCCTTTTCTAATAATTTTCATTCGAATAACAGCTTAAAATCGTATTTGAAAAATGTGATTTCATGCCCTTTTCGTTTGGTCACTTTACACTTAACTCGAGTAATTTTCACAAGTTCTTAGTACGGAGTGATAGACAAGCGCGCGGTTGGTCGAATAAGCGAAGACTGACGCTCGATGGATGCTCTTTTTGCAATTTAATGCCCTTTTGCTTGGGACACTTTTAAGCGCGGATCGACATTAATTTATAGCAGGTAACTCCAAACGATGTAATTAAATAAATCGAAGCATTCAATTAATAGTTGATTTGTTGTTGGAAGTACATTTGGCCATCACTAAACTGTCTATGGTCGGGTCAATGACCAGTTTGTTTACCTTTCACGTAAAATGTATTGAAACGAACTATAATTACTTTTGGACTCTGAAATAACGGTCGTTATTGATTTTTCATATCAATCTTCGTCAATAAAAAAACAAAGGCGGGGGTCAATTGGAATTTGTCATATCATTTTTGCACAAGATAATTAAAATTTTTGAAGACAGAGTAAAATGATATTTGCAGGGTTGCCAGTTTTTCATAAAATTTTAAATAGTCATGTAGCTGTTGTCGACAGTTTTATCGATGGATTGTGAAAGAAGGTAAAATTTTGCCGAAAATGCCCGAATTGTGAATGTTACGACGTTCGAATGATTACTAATTGAGTTATTGCCTTCTTCATTCTCATTTTGAGGGTTGGTCTATTAGTATCGAAATAAATATTTATTCGTATACATTTCAATAAGCACAAGCAGATTTAATTATCTATATTGAATTAATATGAATATCTCTATAGTCGACAGAATGTTTATCGACTGCAATCACTATCTGCTTGCAAGCGGGCAACGCTTTTACGCAATGAACAGTCATTTTACTCCATCTTCAAAAAAGACAGACTCTAGGACGATAATTGCTCAATAGCTGACCCCGCTATGCATCTCGGAAATGTTAATGAGAGTTGAGTTTATGGCGGTCTAGTTATATTGGTCCTTCCTAAGTAATACATCTGTGCATCGACTGTTATTGACACGCCGGAGGCTTCACTGTAGCTGCGTTGCATACGGCTTCTTTGAGGTTACTGTAAGCCAAGTCTTGAGTGGTTTGGTTGAATTTCTGCAAAGGAAATATGGGTTGATTACAAAGTTGAACTGTAGTTAAATTACGTGCTGCCTGTTTTAGATTCAGGCGTTAGTTTGTGGAAAACCATATTAATAATAATTATAACTGTTTATTATGATTATTAATGCAAAGATCGAAAACATAGAAAAACTTTTCAACCCGATGGGACTTGCACCCGCGACCATACTGCACCGTAGTAATAAGCTCTTACCAACTGAGCTACGGGAACATAGAAAAACTTTTCAACCCGATGGGACTTGCACCCACGACCATACTGCACCGTAGTAATAAGCTCTTACCAACTGAGCTACGGGTCAATTTATCAAGTTGTCGAAATTCTATACTTTTCGGCATTCTGCGCCGCTAGTGACATTTAGTGAGAGATTTTAGAACGTTCTTCACCGCAGCCGGTACCTTTACAAGTGCTTCAACTGACGTTATAAACTAGTGCAGCTATTTTAATATTAGGGGTTAAAGTATGAAATTGCCGTTTTATTGCAATAGGTTCTTTGAATTTTCATAGAATCTTCATGGTTTGAGGTTTTCGAATGAAACTTTTTTCAAATGGTTTCTGTGATTTTTTTTTTTAATTTGAAACATTTGAATATCGACTTTCAATTGTTTTTGTTATTCAATTTAGACAAGAAAGATGGATACTGCGAAAATTCGAGTGATTTTTGAATACGAGTTCCGACGCGGAACTAACGCGGCAGAAACAGCCCGCAATCTCAATGCTGCGTTTGGAGAGGGGTCTACTAATGAACGCACCGTGCGATTTTGGTTTAAACGCTTTCGTGATGGAAATTTCGACTTAAAGAACGAGGCACGAGGAAGACCGCCCACACAGGTGAATAACGATGAATTAAGAGAGATAGTGGAAGCCGATCCTAGTCAAACTACCCAGGAATTAGCGGCATGGTTTAACGTTACCTTACCCACAATATTGACTCACTTGCGTCAAATCAATAAAATAAAAAAATACAAAAAATGGGTGCCTCATGATTTGACTGATCTGCAGAAAGAAACGCGTGTTGAAACTTGTGTTGCCTTGTTGAACCGGTACAGAAATGAAGGAATATTGGATCGAATTGTAACATGTGATGAAAAGTGGATTCTTTATGATAACCGGAAAAGAAAAATGCAATGGCTGACCCCAGGTCAAATGCCACAACAGTGTCCTAAAGCAAAACTTACCAATAAAAAGGTAATGGTAACTGTTTGGTGGTCTCAGCATGGTGTTATTCACCATAGTTTTCTCCGATCTGGTCAAGCAATAATGGCAGATGTCTATTGTGCCGAACTCCGAACCATGTTGACAAAACTAGCAGTAAAACAGCCCCGACTCATGAATCGATCTTCACCATTATTGCTCCACGACAAAGCGAGACCTCACACAGCACGAGAAACCATTTTGACCCTTCAGGAACTGCAGTTAGAAACCATTCGTCATCCTCCGTATTCACCAGACCTTGCTCCAACGGACTACCATTTTTTTCGTGATTTGGACAATTATCTACGTGACAAGAAGTTTTCTTCCCAGGAGGCAGTACAAAATGCTTTCACACAGTTTGTGCAGTCTAGATCGTCGGAGTTCTATCACAAAGGCATTAATAACCTTCCCATTAGATGGCAGCAATGTATAGATAATAATGGCAACTATTTTGATTAAATAAATTTGTTAAAAATTTAAAAAATAAACAATTTAGATTTTCAGTACAAATCGGCAATTTCATACTTTAACCCCTATTACAACATATAAGTTTTTTTTATAAAAAAAGACCTCAATAACATATGGAATTACATCTATTTTAGAAATATATTTCTTACAGATGGCGCCACCGCAAAAATATCGGCAAAAATCAAGTGACGGGACGAACAAGTGGCGCGCCTGATGGTAAGCTACAAGCCTGGCTAGAACAGTTGCAGAGTCACTCAGAGCTTTAACTCGCAAAGCTCTGAAGGGCACTGCCAGTGCGTCTTTCACCCTAAGACATATGTTGACAAGTCTCATGTGCCTGTAATTTCACCAGCACCCATACCCTTCTAAGCCGGAACCCAGTAATGCTTACATTACTGCTTGGCGGCAGTACTTCACTGGACTAACTCTTTCACTAGGAACTGTACTGCTTCTAATATCCAGCCGGATTGAAGGAATTTTTTTTAGTGTTCGATCTTTCTTTTAATAATTATTACATCTTGAATATCATGATAGTGAAATATCCTGACATTCAATAAACTTAATTGCTATTTTCTTTTTAACTCACACATTCATAGCCCCGCACTAAGGAAACTCTGTATCGCGGGTGCCATGGACACACAAATAGACAACCACAAATTTCACTCAATATCTCCCGGCCCTGGAATCTAACCCGAGACCTCTGCGTGGCTGTCCAGCAAGATAATTCGGCCACGGATGCAGTTACAACAGAACAATAACTATAGTAGAAGTGCTTAGAGTGCGGGGTACGTGTGTCAAGAGTACGCGGAGTTACATATACTTGAGCTGTCCGCCATTTTGTAATAAAACCTCGATAATCGTGGAAAAATGCCTTATTTTGCTAATTTGGAGCGCAAAAATGATAGTTGCACTGGTAATATTATTCATGGCGCAGTATAGGCAGTATTTACTTACTTCGTTAATGACAACGGTAGGCACGAACTGGAGTGGCCTCAAAACGGCATCACTTTTGTCGCCATATGATGCCAGGAGGTTGTCGCCCTGCTCACCATTGGCGCAACGCGTCAGTTTCTCGGACTCCTCCGCCTTATTGAACTTGGCCAGGCACTGGAACAAATATGGGAGCTTGTTGATTAACTATAATAAAATTATAACATCAATGAAAAAGATAGTGGTGTCAATGGTAGTGATGAGAGTTTGATAACAAAATATGATGGTAATAATAACTCACACGCACATAATCCTTGTTTCAAACCTCGAGTAATAACCAGAAATAGAGACGAAATAAGGGCCATCCATCCCTGGCAACTTATCAGGCAAATGGGCCTTATATCACTTTTAAATCACAAATTAGAAAGCTGAAATAGTACAGCGCCAACAACGTGTATGTATGTACGTCTCCGTATATTCCATAAATATTCTGTATTTATTGTCATAAAGATACTATTATCTCTAACAATGTGGGCTATTCCATTCGGTGGTGTGGGAAAAACAGCAAAACATCTAATTACAAAACAAGTGGAATCACATTTCATCGATAATTAAATATTTAATATGCAATATTGCAATTCTTGTCCATTTTAGCGAAGCTCAATTTAAACTGGTCGATTTGAAGTGAAACTATTGACGACACTCGTCAATTGTTTCGAACTCGGGCTGGCCAAACGGAGCGCAGTTGTCATCGTAATGATTTGGCAGAATAGTTTTTAAACAAATTAAATGACATTTCGTCTCTATTTCTGGTATGTACTCGATGATTTCAAAGATAAGTAATTTATATTTGTAATCGTCACATTAAGGGAAAACAGTAATTTGTGGAAACCACTTTAAATGCTTAGTTTGTTCAATTCGTGGAAGCATAACCGTGTAGACGGGTCTTAAAATTAAATATAAGTACCTTCACAATATGGATGTGTAAAAATTTGTTTATATTTCGATACTTCCAATGTCTACGTCAACTTTATTTTTGGTCATATTCTGTTATTTTTGTAAACAGCCATGTTTATTTACCAATATTATACTACCTGAATTTTGTGAAAAAAAAAGAAATAAAAAACAAAATTCGAAAAAAAACATAAAAACGAATTTTGTGAAAAAAAAGAAACAAAATCAAAATAGAAGCAGAGCAGGTCCAAAAATAAGTTGGCGCATCAATTTGTGATTTTTATATCAAGTGACGGCACAAGCAAGTCGTGCGCCTGGAGGTAAGGGTGCATTCTCATCATGTCGTAACGTTTTCTTTATCGTTGAACGACTGTCGTGCCTAGCTATTCCCACTAGATCGTGACGACAATTTATCGGTTTACGGCAGACGCCTTGTCATTTGCGCGACATAATCGTTTGAAGCTGCGATTGTCTGTCGTCACATTTTTATCGTGTTTATCCTCGGACGACTGTCGTTCTAACCCTTACCATTGTCCCGACAGTCTGTCGTCGTAACTTCAAAAAAGTCGTGAACTACAGTTAATTGTATTGTTCTATATGTGAACAACTTCATTTAAATATACTAGCCACGACACTTTAACCTGCACGATTATCTTAATAACACGCTTACCCACAACAGTTGCAGTGCCACTCAGAGCTTTAAATCGCAAAGACCTTGAGACATAAAATTGCCTAGTCCACGTGCCTTTACCCTTCAAAACAGGAACACAGTATACGAGCATTACTGCTTCGCGGCAGTTTGTTACGATAGATGACTCACCATATCCAACGACTTATCAGGATTGGCGGTTCCCATCAAGCAGATGATGAGGTCCATCTTCTCTGTGTCTATCATGCTGCGGTCCTTCAGGATGCACGCTTGTACCTGAAATCAATCAATCAATTGTCAGAGTTCATGTCGCTTTCGTTTTACGGTGCAATTTATAGATCGACCACTATTATTTAATACGCCACAATGCGAGTCCAAAGTTGTGGAATTTTCATAACTTCGAACTGAATTGTTTCGTGTTCATTTACACAAGGAAAAGATGCGGTTGTTCATACTTTTAAATTTGTATACATTTTAGTAGAGCTGTGTGTATTAAATAAAGAATGATATCATAATCATACACTATCAGAAAGTAAACGAAAAACGAATTCAAAAATTATCAGAAAAAACAATAACACATATTTAAACAAAGAACGTTTTAAAACAAACAACTCGTAGTCAAATAACTCTTGGGCTACAACGAAAACAACACAATTAAACAAAAAATCTTCATTGTTTTCGGATTTTTAGAAGTATACTTCTAAATTAAAGAAAAGTAGTTTTTTACAAATTCCAACGTGTAAAAAAGTTACTTTTTGGAGAATTTCATTTCAGGTTAACTCTATGTTTATATAGTCTCAAATGTACGTGGAATTACATATAATTCCCATGTTTTATTGAAATCGGTTACCGGGACTACCCGGTGCGCACTAGCGCAAACCCGGATTCATCCCCTAGTTCGCCACTAAAATATAATAAAATCGGTTCTCACTTCTCAAAGTATATCGAGAGAAAAACGCCTTGAATTGGAAAATAGCAAAATCAAGAATTAAAATAATTGCTCCTTATAATAAAATTTAGGCGCTATTTATAAAAAATCTTCATGCGTGAACATCCACCCTTAGAGGTGGATGATTTTCTTCAAAATTAAATGGGATACTATGGAGATACCCTCTTTCCAAGAAAAAAAGAATCAAGAAAATCGGTTCACAAATACCGGAGCACAAAAAAAACATACAGTCGAATTGAGTTGCCTGAATTTAGTACAGCTACGATTTTTCCCTGTAATTTTCTATGCTAATTGATAAAATGAACAAAATATCACCTTGTTGCCGTAACACTCATTAGGACCATGGTGACATATGAACTGCCAGCCGGTGGGTGTCCGGTCATGCTGTGAAACAACAAACAAAAAATAAGCGAGGTGAATGATAATTTTTGGATTATCCGTAAGTGACGAGACGACCAATTCGTGCGTCTGATGGTAAGCGACACGACTGTCCATAAAAGTTGCAGTGTCCCTCAAACCTTTAAATCACAAAGATCTTAGGGGCACTGCGGCTGCGCTCGTCACCCTGAGACATAAGTTGACAAGTCCCATGTCAACCGACCGTATAGTTCTGGGTTCAGAACTTTAATGACATTTTTCAGCTCAGTAGCGAGTACCATAGACAATAATAATCGATTTATAGCTAAAAACATCGAGTACATAACCAGAACTAGAGACGAAATAGGGGCAATCCCTGGCAACTAATCAGGCAAATGGGCCTTATATCACTTTTAAATATCAACAAATTAGAAAGCTTATTTCAGCTACAGCATCAACAACTGACCTGTGTGTAGGGTTCGTATTTATAGTAACAAAGGTAATATTATATATATCTAACGTATTCGGTGGTGTAGGAAAAACAGCAAAACATCTAATTACAAAACAAACGGAATCTCATTTCATCGGAAATTAAATACCAAATATGTAATTTTTCCATTTTCGTCCATTACAGCAAAGCTCAAGTTAAATTAGTCGATTTGAAGCGAAACAATTGACAACACCCGTCATTTGTTTCGAATTCGGGCTGGCCAATCGGAGCGCAGTTGTCACCGTAATGATTGGTCTCTATTTCTGGTTATATACTCGACAACTAAAAAGAGCGCCTTTGTGATATGGTTTATGAAATTATAATTGACAGATTATAAAGTACAGGAGTAGAAAAAAAAACTTTTATTATTGTATGTAAGTAAAATCTGCTGAATTATTAAAAATCATGGAACAAAAGTAGTTGTTTATGGACGCTAGTATTCAATAATCACTACAATTGAGTACAAAGAACTTACCTGAAAATTACCTAAATAGACATTTCAAGAATGTACTATAAGGCAGATTCCCTGGAGAAGAACGAGTAAGAAATTCAAGTGGTTGATCTTGAAAGTTTTATTATTCGATGGAGAAATAAATATGGTACAGACTTAAGTAACTAGGAGTAAGCCCACGCTGAAAAAAACTGACTCTTATTAGGTGGAGATAAATGAGTTTCTGGCTCAGTTCCGGGAGACCGATGTGTTTGCCGACAAATAGCGTGTCCTCTCAGCGGTCTTAAACCGCTTTGTAATTTTAAGATAAGTGTTATATTGTAGTAAATTGTGTAATGTTGTATTTATATTTTCTTTCCTATAATAATTAAAAGTAAACAAATTTAGTTTTTAAGTATTATTTTGTATCTTATGTTATATTTCGTCAGCGTTCGCAAGCTCTTCGCTCTTAAAATTGCAATAAAAACCCACGTCCAAGTGCTTCGATCATATGACTACAGTGGTTTGATCAAAAAACGTGTATTTCACGTCCAGCTCTCCCTATCAAACACAATTTTTTCCTTTTCTTTTCCTTTTAGAGGCTAATATATAATGTATGTAAATCGTATGTCTGGGACATCGCGATTCAGGCTTGTCTCAACAAATAAATAAATTGTCTAGTGTGAGGACTGTGGTAAATCTGAAATTGTAAACATGTTTTGTCAAATAATATGTATTTTTTTATTTAAATTTTACATTATCTTTAAGTTTAAGTCTTATGGACGCTCTGGCTTAAGCTGTAAGTCCAAAAGAATGTTTTCTTTATAAATAAATAAATAAAATAAATAACAAAAGTGTGATTACTTTTTTATGATACCATCGTGACAGGACGAACAAGTCGTACGCCTGGTGATAAGCGACACGCCTGTCTATAGCAGTTGCAGTGCCACTCAGAGTCACTGTCATTGCGTCCGTCATAATAGAGACTAAGTTCCATGTGCTTGTAATTTTACTAGCACCCCTTATCATTTAAATGCAGAAATAGGTAAGGTTAGCAGAGAGCTATTACTACAAATTTTTTTGATGTCATTTACGTCACTATTTATGACTGTAATTATTGTACATTTTGAGCTTATCGCGCACAATGATTGCATCAACGACTTTAAGAAACGAATTAATAATGTTGTAATTGATTCAATTACGTTTCACTTCAAAAGAGTCAGTTTTTTTTCAGTTCAACAGATTTCACGCAAGTTTTATATAATAGTTACTTACTAGTGGTGCATAGCCGTGCTGTCAAAACAAAAATCTTAAATAATTTAACGAATTGAAACATACAACAAAACAACGGGATAATTTTCAAAATACGTTAGAATTATAGGTAATGAAACTATATTATAGTATATTTGTTTTTTCAAACAAACCGACGTTTAGAGGTCCCATGGTCACGGTTGACTGAGGTGGTACAGTCTTCAACCAGTTATGTCTAATATTAATGCAAACCATCCTATTTTTCACTATAGTTACAATAGTTATCTTTTATCAAAAAAAATTTTAAATTAAAGTTTAATTAAAAAATTCATCAATTATACTTTGATTTAAACATTCACGATTTTCCACATTATTTGATTTTTAATTCGGGACCTAATCACGTATAAAACATATTTTAATGACCTCGACGTAACGTCCATGGTCTCGAAGGTACTGAACTTGATCTTCATTATTTATTTGTACATTAGGATTGTCACTACGTCCGAAACGACGAGGTAATTAAAATGTGTTTTATACGTGATTAAGTCCCGAAATAAAAATCAAATAAGATCAATTATATTTTTTAGGAAGTTACCTATCATAAGTCCGAAATGACATTTTTCAGAAATAACGTTTGGTCGAATTTCCATAACCTCGAAAGTAATTTTGAGAGGAAAATGTTTTTTTAAAACCTAACCTAACCGAATATCCAACATATCCTGAAAGAACAACCATTTCGTTATAATTCGGTTTTCGGGGTAATGAAAATTCGAACAAACGTTATTTCGGACAAAATCAATTCGAGATTGTGATAGGTTACCTTTTGAGGATCAATAATAACATTATCCCCTTTTGTAATCGTGAAAACAGATGGGTCAGCAGTTTTAGGTTAGCCCCGGCAGAAATGCCAGTTTAAACTATAATTGCTTTAGAACAAAGCGTAAAATATACTCACAGTAGCCTTGCCGTAAGGCACTAGCTTGACTTTAATTGCCCCGCGGAAGTCACGCCACACCGGGGCCAGTTGCTCCACGATGAACTTCTTGCTGTCCGGACACAGAGACTCGTAGTACACTGCCACTTTCACCTGAAATCAAATTGATTGTCTCAATACATACTATGTAGACTTCTCCAAACCCTTCAATAATACGCCATGTTAACAGAACTGATTTCTTAAATTATCTATTCATCCAACAATTTATGTTAGAACTTTAAAATATTCTCAACAAAATTTCTAACCTCAAAAACCGTAATAATTCCTGACCAATCTAACTTGAACATTTGATGAAATACCAATGCATAAATTTTTCTTTCACCTAAAGACGTCGCTTTCTAAATCCCTTCTTTTTCAATTCCCGCCATTTTTTCGCAAGTACGGAATTTTAAAAGCAATGTCAATGGCTAGTCGAACCGGTAGATAAAATAATTATTAATACAAAGATCGAACAGTCAGAAAAATCCTCCGATCCGGCCGGATTTGAACCAACGTATTTAGCATATCGTGCCAGATAAAACGTGCATCTACTGCAAAATGTTCGGACCAATCACAATCTCAACACTCCGACGTGCCAATTAACAAACTATTAAATGAATATATAGAATAAGCTTATTTACCCTTGTAATATTTAAATAAATAATTAATGAAAATATTTTTTGTATTTTACGGTTATATATTTCTTACAATACATACACTTCATGCCCTTTTCAAATTAAGGAAGGCAGAGACCGCAGTCTTTCGTCTTTACATATTTTTTTAACCGACTTCAAAATAAGGAGGAGTTCTCGATTCCACTATTATTTTTTTTGCATATTTTACGCGATTAGTCGGACATTTGTTAACCGATTTCGATGATTCTGTTTTTGTTGGTACACCCTGTATCTCGGTAGTGATCCCTCTCAAATTTGAAGAAAACATTTTCAACGTCCAACATGACAAAAAATAATTGAAAACGCATTGTTTTTATATTAACTTAACACGAAAAATCACATAAAAATAATTATATATGTATAAAATGGTTACCTATCAGCAGTCTGAAATGACATTTTCCAGAAATAACGTTTGCTCGAATTTTCATAACCTCGAAAGTAATTTTGAGAGGAAAATGTTTTTTCTTTTAAACGTAACTTAAACTAACCTAACCGAACCTAATCGTGTCTTTGCGATAAACATTCAACATATCCTGAAAGAACAAATGTTTCATTATAATTCGGTTTTCGGTGTAATGAAAATTCGTAAAAACGTTATTTCGGACAAAAAAAATGTTCGAGTTTGTAGTAGATTACCATGTATAATACTTTATATAGATAGATAGACATCATCAACGTTTCCCAACCCAATTGCGTCTGAGGCCCGACCGCCCTAGGACTTTTCAGTGCCCACTGGGGGGAAACTATGATCTGAATACATACTCGTACATACACTTCATGCCCTTGTCAAATTAAGATAGGCAGAGCCTTCGTCTGTACATATTTTCATATTTTTTAACGGACTTCAAAAAAAGGAGAACTCTACAGGACTCTATATTTTGTGTGTGTATTACGTGATAACTCCGACATTTGAGAATAGATTTCGATGATTTTTATTTTGTTGGAAAGTAGGTACCTCAGTATTGGTCCCATTTAAATTTGAAGAAAATATTCCACCTCTAAGGGTAGCAAATTAGGGGATGAATCCGGTTTATTAGATTTCGCACACTTTCCGTTAGCCCATTTTAACAAAACTTGGCACATAGATGTACTTCCTTTCGAACAAAAAAGAATAATCAAAATCTGTCCAAACAGCCGGAGTAATCACGTAACATAAACACAAAAACGTCCCTTTTTGAAGTCGGTAAAAAACAGTAAATACAAAATACTTGTATGTAAAAATCAATACGTACTATAAACTAACAGTTAATGTATATGAATTGGAAATGGCTGCATTCAAACAGACAGTAAAACTTTACTTTGAAAGTCACGCTTTTTAACCGACTTCAAAAAAGGAGGAGGAGGAGTCTCAATTCGACTGTATGTTCTTTTTTTTTTGTATGTACGTTACGCGATAACTCCGATATTTGTGAACCGATTTTCATGATTCTTTTTTTGTTGGAAAGGGTGTACTTCCATGGTGGTCCCATTTCATTTTGAAGGAAATCATCCACCCCGAAGGGTGGCTGTTCACGCATGAAGATTCATTTTTATAAATAGCGCCTAACTTTAATTTAGGAGCAATTACTTTAATGGTTGATTTTGCTATTTCTCCAATTCTAGGCGTTTTTCTCTCGATATACTTTGTGTAGTGAGAACTTATTTTTATTATCTCCAGTGTCAAGTCAAGTATAGTGGCGAACTAGGGGATATTTCAAAAAAACTTAGCAAATAGACTCAATTCCACGTTCTTTTCGGTCGGTTTTTTTTAGTACTCTGTACTGAGATTATTATAAAATCAACGATGTTATGGATTCAAATTTAAATGAGTATTTAGGAAATGAAACTATTTTTCCGGATTTAAATCGTGTATACCTATTTGTTTTTTCAAACAAACCAACGTTTCGGGCCCTTTACAGGTCCCATGGTCACGGTTGACTCAACTATGATGGGACCGGTAGAGGGCCCGAAATGTTGGTTTGCTTGAAAAAACAAATATACGCGATTTAAATCAGGAAAAATAGTTTTATTTTCTGTGTGTAACAATAGCGAAAACTTAAGAACTCGATATTTCCTGAATATTCATTTTCTTTAAAAAAATCATAATATTACCTGTATACATAATTTAAGTTTGTATTTGCTTTGTTTTGTTGTCTTGTGCGAGTAAATATTTTGAATTTGACTATTTTATTTATTTATTTTTATTTATTTATTTATTTATTTCAGGCAACTAGGACCCATAGATACACACCTTACAGACTAACATACATATAATATAACAATAATATAATAAAACAATAACAGAAATATTAAATAAATACCTTACGGACTAATCATAAATACAATATAACATGATAATATACATATAACACTATTTGTTTACACGTATGTACTTCGACGTGTGACGCAACGTGGGTGTCCGGTAGCCGTCCTCGGAAACGCCGGTATATGACACCCTTCGGCCAAAAGTCTCCTCTTAGAAGGTCGACAGGTGTTGAGTTGGTACTCGCACCACAAATGAATTAAAATTCACGTTGTGGCGCGACTCCAACCGCTCGACCCTCAGGTTTGCATTGGCCTTCACTCGCATGTACTCCACAATATCCGCAGACTTGGTGGAGTAATGAAGACGCGACACGTATAACAACGTCGTCGGTACCGCTGGACGCAATAAATGATTCGGGCCAGTCAGGGCGGTGCCACTAAGGTTTCGGCTGATGTTCTTCTTTTTCTTTTCCACCTTCCGAAAGCCGTCCTCGTCGCACTGATCAACTCGTCTCGGTGGTACTGACGACGCAGCTCCAGATACGAGTTTCTTTTTCAGTTTTCCCTTCATTGGTTGCCTGGGTTGTGGTTGTGGAGTACTGGGTCGGGCAGCGGCAACAGCTGCGTAATCACGTGAAGGGGTCGTCTCCGGCGGGGCGGGGTGCGGGGAAACGCGCGCGGCAACAGCGCCAGAGGTCGGTGACACATGCATGTCAGCCGACTTAAAACTGCTGAAAGAAGCATTTTGCGCCCCGCGACAAGTGTTCACGTTGCAGGCCTCAGGTGACCTACTTACCGAAGCCGCACTACTAAGTAATGCAACTTGGGCACGCAACTCACTGATGGTGTTGTCTGAGGCCTTCAACTTACACTGAAAATACGCAGCCGCGTTTTACACTTAGCTTTACCACCGGTTCCCTAACCGTGCAATTAAGTATCAATTATCTAAATTAGAAAATGAAACATATACTTACATAATCGCAATTAGCAAGTTGATTTTTAGAATTACGTTGAAGTATTTAGGCTTTCGCTGGAGTGAATTTAGTAACGGAAATAGAGCTCGAGTGTTGCGTGTTTTAACACAATTAACAATCTTTATGTAGATACAATTATATAATAGTTGGCATAAGTAGTAAATAACGTACAAATATACCGTTGTTCGCCAGCAAAGACAGCATATCTGTGTAGGTATATTACCAGACTCAATAAAATAATAAGCGAAGTGATCAGCTCTAGGTTATCATAGCATTTTATTTTCATTGGAATTACTTCATCAATTATATGTGCTGGGTATACGGAAGAATTTTGAAAATATCATGGGTAGAGTGCCCTATGAAAGAGTATTGCATATAGTGAATAAGAAATTAGAATAAAATAGACATTTATAGCAACGCCACAACACAAAGATACAAAAAAGTATTGAAACCATTGACATAAAAATAATTAATAGACAAAATAAAAAAGGAAGATTTTTCCACCCTTTGAGGTGGAATATGTTGTTTAAATGTCAATGGTAGTGGTCCCATTGAAATTTAAACAACTAAAGTACCTCTTTTCCAACAAAAAAAATCGGTTCACAAGAAACTGAGTGCCTCACTATTGGTCTCATTTAAGTTTGAAAAACAATATTCCGCCTCCAAGAGTGGCTAACTAGGTGACAGTTTCGCACACTTTCCGGTAACCGTTTGCAATAAAACTTGGCAAATAGATGTAATTACACGAACTTTTGAGGTCGGTTTTTTCTAATAGCAAAGTTATTGACGGAAGTGGTTTAAAAAATGAAGCGTTTCTTCTTTGTGTGTTTGGTTTGACTTTGCCATCGAGTATGTAATCAGAAATAGAGACGAAATAAGGGCCGTCCATCCCTGGCAACTAATCAGGCAAATAGGCCTTCAATCACTTTTAAATATCAACTCTTCTTTGCGCTGAAATCACAAATCAGAAAGCTGAAATAGTACAGCGCCAACAACTGACCTGTGTGTACATCTCCGTATATTCCAAAAATATTCTGTATTTATCATAATGAAGATAATATCTATAACAATGGGGCTGTCCCATATGGTGGTGTGGGAAAAACAGCCAAACATCTAATTACAAAACAAACGGAATCACATTTCATCGGTAATTAAATATTAAATATGTAATTTTTCAATATTCGTCCATTATAGCAAAACTCAAGTTAAACTGGCCGATTTGAAGTGAAACAATTGACGACACCCGTCAATTGTTTCGAATCCGGGCTGGCCAATCAGAGCGCAGTAACCGTATCACCCAATGGTATCACCGTAACGATTAGGCAGAATAATTTTCAAACAAATTAAATGACATTTCGTCTCTATTTCTGGTTATATACTCGATGAACTTTAATTACTTTATTGTCTTCTGCCCGCCGGCCACCCTTGGCCATTGCTCCGCAGAAAAGTGCCACCAGACAGGCTACCAGCATTGTCCTCATTTTGTTCTGTTGAAAAAGAAACATATAAATCGTTAGAACACGTAACCAGAATACATGAAATCAGGGTAAGGGACCTGGTGAAATTAGTAGCATTAGAACCCCTTGTGAAAGAGTTTGTCCAGGGAAGTACCCCTTGCCTGTTTCTGCCGCCAAGTAGTAACGTCAGCATTACTGTGTTCCGTTTATGAAGGGTAAGGGTGCTAGTGAAATTACAGGCACTTGGGACTTGTTAACTTATGTCTCAGGGTGACAGGCGCTGTGGCAGTGCCCCTTAGATCTTTGCGATTCAAAGCTCTGAGTGGCGCTGCAACTGTTATTGGTAGGCGTGTTGCGTGTTGGTAGTGTAACTGGGGCGTAGCTTAGGATGCGTAGCGAGAGGTACTTTTATGAATTTAAACTGGAATAATCTTCAAAACTTGGTTTATTGTATTCTTTCACATACTTTCGGCGTGGGATCACAATTTGATATGTCAAGATGCTCCATTTTTTTCTTACTTCCTTTTTTATAACACATTCTAATTACAAAACTATTCATTCAGCCAGTGATTCTACTCATAGAGTAGAGGCTAGACTACAGTAGTAACACCAGGCGCACAATTTGGTTTGCAATAAATTCATTGTTTCGGTGGCTGCGTGACTTGTGGCATCGTCTTGTTGAAACCACATGTTAGTGATATCCATATCATCAATAATAGGCCAAAATTGAGTTGTTAACATCTCTTGATAGCGTAATCCATTGACCGTAACCGCATTTACTGCCGAAAAAAATGGCCCAATGCCAACGGCACAAGTCACACAGCCACCGAAACAATTAATTTACTGCAAACGAAATTTCCCGATCTCATAATTTCACGAAATGGCCAGCTCGATCATCTGATTATTTTTTATGGGGTTATGTTATTCATCTCGTCACTTTGTATTATAAAAAAAACCTTTTTATGAAAAAAAAAAACCGACTCAAAAGTCTACTTGTGAAATTACATGTGCCAAGTTTTATTGACATCGATTAACGGAAAATGGGTGAAATCCAGTAAACCATATACATCTCCTAATTTGCCACCTTTAGAGGTGGAATGTTGTTTTCAAATATGAATCGAACCATAACAGACACACGTACCCTATATTTCCAATTTCCAATAATTAAGAACACCCTCCTTTTTGTCGACTTTTTGAAGGATTACCCCGATGTTCGTGAACCGATTTTGATGATTCATTTTGTTGAAAAGAGGGTACCTGTTTCTGAATCCGGTTTTGCGCATTTTCCTTTAACCGATTTCAATAAACTTGGAAAATAGATGTAAAAAATCCGATAAGCAAACCTTTGAAGTCGGTTTATTTTAATACAAAAGTTAAACATCATCATCATTCAGCCATACGACGCCCACTGCTGGGCATAGGCCTCCCCCAACGATCTCCACGACGATCGGTCCTGCGCTGTCCGCATTAGTTCTCCTACGGTTCCACATTTCTGATTCTATCACGAAGGGACATACCGAGCATCGCTCTATCTATTGTCCGCAGAGTGACCTTGAGCTTTCTTAAGAGGCCCATAGTGAGAACCAAATTATACAACTTTAAATCCATTTGATTTTCGAGCTAACAACGCCACATCATACCTCTTCTTGAGCCTGGCTTTTTAAAATTAAAATTAAGACACGTAGACTTATGTTGTATATGAAGCCAGTCCATATTTTTCACTTTGGACGTATAAACACAATGGCTGGGGTACGGAATATCATATTTGGCACCAAACAAAAGGCATATACGGCTTCCCAAAAAAATACTTTTCCGACTCACGTTGCATTGTGACTGCATGTTGAAAATATTGGGAAACTCGCATTTGTTGTGTACATTACAAAAGCCATAAGTATCTTATCTAGTAACCATAGCTTATATCTTACGTTGCAATTAAGCCTGAGAACGTTCCCACGTAAGTTATTGAATCGCGTTTGCAAAACCAACTGTAATTTCAACCTTGATGTCAACAACAACAGGACGAACAAGTCGTGCGCCTGGTGTTAGGCGACACGCCGGTTCATGGCAGTTGCAGTGCCACTGAGACCTTCAAATCACAAAGAGCTGAGGGACAGTGCCACTGCGCGTGTCACTTTGAGGCATAAAATCGCCTTACTTTCTCATACTCGTATCTTATAAAGAGTAATATTCAGAAGATGGCAAAACTATCCATTTATTTTAAATTTCTTATCAAGGCTTATCAAACTTATTAAGGCAAGGCTGTGACTATCATTTTTGCTCTCGATAATAGCAAAATAAAGCATTCTTCCACGATTTTTGACGTTTTGCGTGAGTTAATTGACATTAACAGGGAGCAGAGGAAAAATTCCTAATCTTCGATTTGATTTTCGAGGGGTATATCCACTTTAAAGTTAAAAATAAAAAATTGTATGAGTAACTACGCGATATATTCAAGCATAGACATTAATCAGTAACATAAAACAATAAAGTTTCCTCGATAGATAAAAATCACGAAATGACCTCTAATTTTCACATTTTTTCGATTCATCCTCGAAATGCTACAGGTTATTAGGACAAAAATTAGATAATTAATTATATTTATGCATGATCGAGAACTGTCACTACGGATTTTTTTGAATCCCTTTAGTTTTAGAGTTATTCCGCTAAAACGAATTTGGTACTTTTAATGCGCAAAATTCAACATCTCCTGTCGCATGTCACGCGAACTTCAGGCATATATTTGTTTCACAAATTTGGGCGGAGCCAATGTCAAAACTTTTTTGGCATGAGAGCTCTTAATATAAAGTACAAAGTGAAAATGGCGGGCTGAGCTCAAGTATGTGGAACGGCGCGTACTGTTGGCGCACGTGTTACAAAATAATAAAATAAATAAGTATATTTCTTACTGGATTGTACTTAATTATTATTTAATGACAGAGAAACCTTAATGGTGTAACATATTGAAGCAATGCTAACTTTAGAATGATGACATAGGCTTGTGGCATTATGATGATTACGCACTGTTACATAATGCAATATTAACTCGCTTTTAACATAGTACCTTAATATGGTGATTATGTTTAACCTGCTTTATAAAAATAAGTGGAATTCTACATGTCGTTGCGTTAGAGTGAAAATATTTACGTAGTATTAAACGCCTTATTTACGTAGTTTCTTTTTATCTTATCAAGTGACGGGACGAACAAGTCGTGCGCCTGATGGTAAGCTACACGCCTGTCGACAACAGTTGCAGTGTCATTCAGAGCTTTAAATAGCAAAGATCTGAGGGCACTGCCGCTGCGCCCGTCGCCCTGAGGCATAAGTTGACAAGTCCCATGTGCTTGTAATTTCACCAGCACCCTTACTAACCCTTCAAAACCAGAATACAGTAACGCTGACATTACTGCTTGGCGGCAGAAATAGGTAAACTGGTAGTGCTACCACTATGTTACTCCGACATTTGTTGTTTGTTGGAAAAGGGGTACCTCATTCAAATTTGAAGAAAATATTCCACCTCTAATGCATGTTCAAAGCCCTGCACTAGGGAAACCCTGTGTGCCATGGATGCCTGTAAGGTTGGCAAATTGGGAGATGAATTTAGTTTATTGGATTTATTCTACCTTCTACTAACTAAACGTTATTATACAACTTCTGCGTGCTTGGATGACAAAAATCCGTGGTAGTAACCCGTTTAGCTCATGGAGGTAGTCTCGATCTCTGATGTCTCTGATGTACAATATTAAATGTTATTTACAAAGAGCAACCCCTAGAGTTTCTTGCTTATTCTTTTCAGGGGAATCTGCCTTACGAATGAGCGGTAGAGTTTAACCATTGTGACGATTTCAAGTGTAATAATGCTTACCTATGAAATAAAGATTATTTTGAATTTTGAATTTGAATTAGAATTTTTCCGTAAACCGATTTCAATAAAACTTGGTAAATAGATGTAATTTCACAGACTTTTGAGGTAACAGTTTTCAAGTGTAATTTGCTTACCTATCAAATAAAGATGAATAATAAAATTGAATTGTAATAAGAACCTAAGAACACGATATATATCTACAAATGCAAAATAGAATACTAACATGTTTGTTAGAGATCACTACAGGTCCTTCATACCGTGTATCACTGTACTCCAATCGCGTAATAGAAAGTGACTATCGATGCAAGTTCTTAAGTGAAATCGTAAACAAAGCCGCTTTCCCGTACTTTAGCCACATATAATTATTGAATCATGTGTACTGCGCACGCTAATACAGGACCACCAACTTAGCGGTATAAGGGCAGAGAAGGCTAACGCGCCGTTTCACCAAATGTTGAATATTATAAAGACGACTTTAATGCCATAAAAACAAATGAAATGTTGACGACCCCGTGATCGAATGTCTTTATTTAACCGACTTCAAAAAAGGAGGACTTTTCTATTCGACTGTACGTTTTTTTTTGTATGTATGTTACGCGATAACTCCGACATTTGTGAACCGAATTTGTTGATTCTTTTTTTGTTACCTCAGACATTCAACATTCTATCTCTAAGGGTGGCAAACTAGGGGATGAATGACTTTTGAGGTCGGTTTTTTTAGTACTCTGTACTGTTTTTTATAACATTAAGTGACGGGGACGAACAAGTCGTGCGCCTGATGGTAAGCTACTACCTATCCATAACAGTTGCAGTGCCAATGATCTGAGGGGCACTGCCACTGCGCCTGTCACCCTGAAACATATGTTGACAAGTCCCACGTGTCTATAGTTTCACGGACACCCTAAAAATCTGGATCCAGTAATGCTCATATTACTACTTGTCGGCAGAAATAGGTAAGGTGGCAGTACTCTCTCACAAGGAGCTCTACTGTACACCGGGTTCAATTCCCGGCCAGGTCAATGTAGAAAAGTAACTAATCTATAAATTTTTTTTTTTTTATTTTGTATATTTCGATGTACAAAACAGTTTACATTCAGTGGTACATGTTTTGAGATACAGTTAATCCAACATTATTTTATTATACATTACGCCAACTGAATTGGACCTG